TTCTAAAACGGTCATTTGAATAATATCTATTCCGAGAGTATGAATATAAACGGTTTCTATTATACTTTGAATTTTTACTTCTATTTGAATTTGATCTTGAGTAATTGTTTCGACATTGATTATTTTGACTATTAGATCTGCTATATCTATTTTATGAGAAGTTTTGTGAGTTTCTTCAATCTGGAGATCTTCCGCGATAAATATTTTGGTAAATTGATTGCTGTCTATAGTTGCTACAGTTATCCAGGAGTGGTTTTCCAGATTTATTATTTCAATGATTTTTTTCGTTTGGTAAATTTTGGGTTTTCTTCAAATAAAGATAAAAAGATTTATTTGATTCTCTATGCCTCTGTAATTTATTTTGATTATCTTGCTGTTTTTGTCCATATCTGCGACAATAATTACACCGATTTTTCAATGATCGTTTACCTTTGAACTTTGGATTTTTCTCGTAGATGATTCGTTTTTGAGTGATTTTTTTTCTGCTAATTTAATGCCAGAGTCATGAATAATATTCCTTTCTGAGATTGTTGTTTCGATATTATTTACTTTTTGTAATTTGAAAGTTTTGATTTCTTATAATTTCATATTAATTTCAGCTTGTTCTAGTTTATCTACTAGTTTTCGGAAATCTATATCAGGCTCTTGAGTTGATGATGGATGTGATTTTCTCTTTTTTTTGCTTTTTGTTGGGTTAGAGTCATCATTAAGACTTCTGTTTTTTCTGTGTTTTGTAATCATGAGTATTAAAAGATTATGCTTTTCTTACTGTTTTGATTATTACTGCGATTTGTTTTTTTTTGTTTCATTAGGGAGTGTACAAATTTCATTGCATAGAACTCTCTGATGTGGTTTATTTCTTTCAGGGTCGACGTCTTTGAACACTCTCGTGTGAATCTTTTCCAGTCTGATTAAAAATCTATTGGTAACATTGAAAACCGTTTTATGGCTGCGCCATCAAATGTAGTTTGGATTAGAGCTGTGCGTCTATGTATCCAGTTTTGATGAAGCGGCAAATTTACTGGTTCAGGTCCTATATTTAAAATGAAGTTAGCTGTGACTGCGTTTAAATAATCTTCTATTGAGTTTTCAAACTTTCTTCCTGCGAATATCATTAGTGGTTTGTTAGAGGATTTTAATGATCCACCCCTAAGGTATGGATTCACAGTCATTTGGGGTGGTTCTGCTGCATCTAATAATTGAGAAAAAATTTTATGTTGTGTTTTTGATATATTGTGATGTTAAACATGGTAATGGGATTTAATTTTGCATTTGATTTGGTTGGTAGCTTTGTGAAGTTATAGGATTTTGTGATTAGAATTTATTATTATGTGATGCTGAATTTCGTCTTGCAGGAAAGGTTTGTCTTCTTGATTGTCGTGTTTGTTCATTTCGTGTAAAAAGTTCAAAAATATCTGGTTGATAAATAGGATCTGGTTGATCGATATTCCAATTATTTTTCCGTTGATTAGTTTTAAACCATTGTTGTTATTCATTGAAATACTTTTTATATGAGTAGGTTTTATTATTTTATTTTTTGCAAAAAAATTGTAGTTTTTGTCCTAAAAAAAATTTCTGTTGGACGTTTTTTTTGTTTTGTTTCATTGTGGTGGTAAGATTTCGATTGTGAATACACCATAGAATGAAGTAATTTTACATATGCCTTAGAGATAGTGATCAAGAGTTTGTCGTTTTATTCTTGTTTCAGGAAATTCCTGTTCACATGGACTACTTCCTTTTTTGAATATTTTCATAACTAAGTTGTGTCAAAAAAGTACTTTTCCCCCAGCGGAATGAATTTGTGGACGGATAAAAAAGAGAAATATTGAGTTCTCATCTAAATTTTTGTCCTTTTCAATCATTTTTTGTATCTTTAAACTGTTAGTGTGTAACTTTCAATGTGTCTGATTGGTTGATTCCAATTGTACAGTCGTACTGGTTTATCAACGTATGACTTTTATTTCTACGTTTTTCCTTAAATGATGCTGGTGATGTAGCTTCTGCGTCAGAAAATTTATTTTGATTTTCTATTGGGTTAATTTTATTTATTGAATCTTTCAGGTCTTGAAGTTCCTGTATTGTATTTTTATCTGATTCTGAAACTGCGTTTCGTTTTTCAGAAAATCGTCTTTTGATAATTTGTTTTTGTTTTATTATTTTTTTTCGTGTTGTTGATCTGATATATCCGTTTGATTGTTTGTGTCGAGTGATTACAAGATCAAATCTTTCGTTTTCAATTAAGCAATTGTGTAGAATGATTGTTTGTTCACTGCCGAGGTTATCTCTTGACATAAAGTTTAGGATGATGGATGCAAAACTCGGGATTTAGATTTTCTATTTTCCTAAATTTTTAGTGCTTACGGTTTTTGTGTGGTTATCTTAACTTGGGTCAGAGATTGTCGTGGTTGACAGGTTGGAGAGAGAGTATATCAGTTCGCGATAATGATTTTTTACTTTCTCGTAACTCGATCTAGTATATGATGAACTTACTGAATCTTTCCTAGTGGTTTGATTTGTGATCAAGGTTTGGAGAATAGTAAATCAATCCACAAGGTTCAGGTATAATTAGAAGACAAGTAGATCGTTAGATACTGTTTTAAAACTTACTAATGTTGTTAAGGGTTTTCGCCTGGGTCATCTAAAAGGAAGAGCTCGAGCGAAGGATGAGTAACCGAAGTTTTTCACTGCCTATCTTAATTAGAATTGTTCAAAAACGTCTTTTTATTCTGGGTCTTTACAAAGCCTGGAGAGTGAATCGACGTTTGAAGGAGTTAGACACTTTAATTTATGATGTGGGTAGAACAAAGTTGTTCTATCTGATCCAAGAGAAGCCTTGATGATCAGAAATTTTGTGAAACGAAATTTAATTTTAAAAAATTAAAAACGCAAGGGAAGCCTTGATGATCTGTTTATGATTTAAATGTGAATTATTGAAAAACAAGGATGTCTTGATAAATTTTTATGTAAAAAATTAATTTAAGGAAAGATTTTAAGAGTTAGATTGCAAATTATTTTAGTTTCTTAATTTTTTGTGGTCATTTTTTGGGTAATAAAGCTGGGATAATGAGAAGATAATTTACTTATAACTAACAAAACTATCGATAAACTTTCTTACTAACTAATTTCTGTATTTTTTATTCATTAAGTAATTTATCAAAAGTTTCAATTCACTGCAGGTTTTGGAAAGAACTACTTGTGCATCTTTTCATCAGTCGTTATTATTTATATAGTAAGTATAGCGCCAAATAGGTTCATGTAGAAATTTTTTTTCAAATGGTTTTCATGTTAATAAATGAAAATTTAAATTTACTGCATAAAGTATTCTGAATACAAATACTTATTCCAGTTTTTGTCGTACTATCATGTAATAGATCGGTCCGTCTCCGAATCGTTGTTCACGCCTTGATCTCGGTATTCGTGCAAAACCTGGTTTTTCTCGTATTGTTTGAAATATCGGCGTAGATATATTGAGACGTAGAGACAATTCTATTTAATTGTCTGTTCCATCTAACATTTTGCAATTTTGGAATTGTCTAATTCTAATTCTAATTGTCTAATGCTAAGTTAGTTAAGGTCTTGTTCGAGACTTTTGGTCGCACCAGATGAGTTATGACTGGGGGTCTGTAGTCTTAGAGTAACTTCAGATAAGATACACCGTCTGTTCGTCCAGCTATCTTATTTTCGGCCGGATAGGTTCGTGCAACTTCTAAGTCTATTACCAATCTTAATCTTACTCTTATATCTCCTAGTCTCAAAAGATCTAGTGTATGCTGGTCTTTGCGAGTTAGTTCCAGAAGGAGAACAACTGTTGTCTAAGATTTTTTCAAATTGTTCTGGTGCTGAAACTACAGGTTTAAATCATTCAAAAAGTATGATTTTCCTGAGCATAAATTTAAAAATTTCATTTCATTTGTGAATATTTTCGAAAAGTTATGGAGGTCTAAAGGTTGCCCCGTTTAAAAATTTTATCCGTCTTAGAAATTGTTCCAAATTGGTTGAAGGAAGCTTTTTAGCCAAATTTTATTGTTCCGAATTTCGAAGAAAACGGGGTATTTATGGTCGGTGTGGTTTTTATTTAGTCAATTTTCGCCGGTCAATTTTCAACATTTGTTTAAACCTCATTGAAGATATAATCTCCTTGAGTTCAAATTTAAAAAAAGATATGTTACCTCAGATAATTTTTTGTAAAGTTCTGGGGGTTTGAAATTTGCCAAATTGGTCATGCTCTGTTGCCAAATTATGCGAGATTTGAAGTTTTTTTCATAATCCTGAGAACGTAACGCGAACGATTTATGTGTGGTGAATTCACCCACACAATAAAATCGTTCCAATTGAATTGACCCCGCAGGGAGCGCCCATGGATTCTAATTGATTATAACGGATTCCGGAGACAAAAAAAAATCTTTTATAACTCATTACAGATGTAAGACTCAGACCACGAAATCGATTGTGTTGCCATTATAATTGATCATTTTTAAAAATAGTAATCCATTATTATCCATTAAAATAGATTATAAACCAATATTTTTGGCAGCGAAATTGATTATTTTTGCCAGTATAAATCATTATAATCGATTTTGTTTTAACTAAAAATCCATTCTAATCCATTATAATTGATTATAATCCATTTTAATTTTAGAACTAAATTCGATTAATTTCGCAAAAGCAAACTGGGATGAGTGGTTAACGTAAACTGGGTGGGGTTCAATCAGAACATATAAGACAAAAAAACCTATAATTTTTTGTTTGTTTTTTGTTTGTTTTTTTAAAACATTTTTTCCAAGTTATTACTGCTCCATTGACCTCAAAAGGCAGTCGGAACATTCAGGGCTTTGCTCTGAAAACGAGCAATTTTGTTTCAAGTTGAAAATCAAATGCGGGAAGAAGGGGTGGGGGAATGGAAATAAAGAGCTTTTGTATTGAACTTTTATAATGAAACGAAAAAAAAAACCGAAAAGATTATGAGCTCAAGTAAAAGGGTGAAACTGAACTAGATTTACTTTGTGAGTCATTTTTCCCGCTCAATTTCTTCACCCATACTTGCTGATCGTTGTTGCTGTTTGTGAACACTCGCTTGCCAAAATCTCCCAAAGGGTCCTGATCAATGTCAATCAGGTGTTGATTGAGAAGTACGGCCAGTGATTCATCACTTATCACTCTCAGATCAGAGGAGATGAGAAGGGGTGCACTCCACATGCACCATACTGACATCTGGATCTTCTGCTGACCAATAGAGAGAGCCCCGTCCCCCAACAGCAGTTCATCGGGGTCATTAAAATGACCGGGTCCATTGTACTGCGCGTACTCATCCTACAACAGCTTCAAATGAAATTGAGGACTAAAAAATCCTTTCGAAACAAATGAAACTGCTATGGTTAAACTGAAGCGCGTGAAAAATCATGAACGGAGAAAATGATGTGCGTATAACAAATTCGTCTGTTATCTGATAGCTTTTGAAACGCAACGGCGTTGTTGCGTATCAAACGCTATAACAGGCGAATTTGTTATACGCAACGAAAATTTCAGATCAGAGACAGTGCAACTCTGGCTTCAAAGAGACTTCCAGCGCGTCATCTAAAATTGGCGCCTTTGTTCGAAAGTTATAATAATAATAATCATAATCATAATCATAATCATCGTAATAATAACAATAATCATGATAATAATCAAAATAATAAAAATAATAATTATAATAATGATAATCATAATATTAATAGTAATAATTATAATAATCATGATAAATTGTTTGCAATCTAGATTCCAATCACTGTAAAATTTTCTTCTTTTTACAACCAAGTGAAATCTCATTGCGAGAGCGCTGTGGAACATTACAGCCCGTTTTCAGGCGCCTCTGATCCTGTTATGACTTCTGTTGGTTTTTAACATCAATAGTTAATCAAGAAATCAATTGAAAATGATTTATTGAAAAAAAAATTGAAGCGAACCCGCACCGGAGTTTCATGGATAATAATTGATTATAATGGAAAATTGTTGTCCAAAATGTTGTCATTAAAATCCATTATTGGGACAAATTTAGACCACGAAATCGATTATATTGTCATTATAATCGATTATTTTCTTTAAGAAAAACAATCCATTAAAATCTAATATAATGGATTATAATACATTTAAAATCCATTATAATGGATTATAATCCATTTAAAGTCCATTATAATTGATTCTAACGGATTATAATCTATATATTTTGTGCAAAATCATTTGCAAATTTGCAACATATTTCTGCGTTACTCATGGCCTACTCGCAATCTTAACCTACTCGAATTAACCCTCCTCCTCCCCCCACACATTGGCCGCATTCGTCCGCATTCGACCAAACCCCCTCCCTCAGTAAACGGGGGGTGGATGTAAAACTAAGATGGGGTGGTGGTAAATTGAGTAGTGGTCAACGGGCAGGGAGGTAGAGAGGAGGGGGGGGGGGTAAACGGGGCGGGTAAACAGGGAAGAAAACGGGGAAGGGATAAACAAAGGGGGTGTAAGCAGGGAGGAAAACGGAGGGAGGGGGTAAACAGTAGTGGGGGGAGGGGGGTAAACAGGAGAGAGGGGGGGGGGGTAAACAGGAGTGGGGGGGAGGGGGGGGGGTAAACGGGGTATATAAGACAAAAAGTATAAAAATTGGAAAGAGAAATGTAATATTTTATAAAACCTAATACTTAGCAACTGAACTAAACAGGAAATGCAATAAATTTGAAAAAAAGTTGTAAATTTCCTGGATAATCTATCGAAAAAATCCTTTATAGTTGATTATAACCGATTATAAGGGGTTATATTGGCATAAAACTGTATGAAAAAAATAATAAATTTTTTTTGGAGTATAATGGATTATAATGATATAAAAAATAATTAATTTCAATCCACTTTTGATGGCTTTTATTTGACTATTTTTAAAATTTTATAGATACTGACTATAAAATGCGACACCCGGGTCGAGA